GATCTAAGTATAAGTTACTGGGTAGAATATCTGGGAAATCTCAAATGGGATTGACTTGGTTACGAGGAGTGCTTTTTGTTTTATTTTTGCTTTACCTCTTTTCTTCTTTCTGACTGAAACATAGATGTGGTGGCTGGAGCATCAGCATCCATCTTGGACCATGAGGATGAGAGCCAATGGACTAAGGATGATGTGGCAGAAAGACAGAAGGAGCCTGAGTCCTTGTTAACATGATGGAGCTGCTTTACTAGCCCTGGACTGTCTGACTCCAGACTTCTTTCATTTGAGAGAATAAATCTCTAATTCGTTTAAGCCACTGTTGTCAATAAAAAGCAGTTAGGAATATAGTTCCTAAATAGCACAGTCATATTTCCAGTTCACACTAGAAAAATGGGATACATTTTGCTCTAAGTTTGTTTTAGGGGCTGAGGTATATATGTTTTCAATCTTTCCTTCTTTCTCTTTCTCACTCCCTTTCTTTCTTCCAAATGACAAAAGCAACACATTCTCTTTATTTATCAGGAAGCCAAGTTTATCAAGAGCCAAGTTCATCGTCAGAGTGCGAGGGGCCCCCTGGAGCATACATTTATCTACCTGAATTGGTTCTTCTGATCTCCAGTGCTGGGCACTGGAAGGTGAGCAGAGAGGAAGAGATCACATATGTCTCCTAGAGAAGGCATCTAAGCTGACTGGGGGCCCTGGAGAAAGAGTGGATCTGCACTTCTGCCCTTAGTACTGGGTAGGCAGGTGTCTGGTACACTCTGAATTGATGGAAAACCTGAGAGTAGCCTCTGGACTGGGGTGTGGTGGAGATGGATCTAGGATCCAATCCAGGGACCAGAATTTAGCCCAGTGCCCTAATCCTTGATCCCAGTTGCCTGTCCCAAAGGGCAGCATTTTCTCATTTATCTGCCAAGGGGGAGTGCCTTGTTCTAACTCTCACATAGGTGCTGTACATTCTAGTAATGGTAATAAAGACTCCAAGAGACCCAAGGGATCCCAGGAAGAATGTAGAGCTTAGGTACTTCCTTTCTTGGCATTGAGCAACTCAGGGTTAAGCGCTGAGGACGCAAAGCCCCAGTAGTTCATTCATTTACTCAAATAGTTATTAAGCACCTACTGTATACAAGGCACTGTGCTGCGGAAGACGGACACAGTCTCTACTTTCATGGAACTTACAGACCCACAGAGGAGACAGGTATCAACTAATAAACTAACATATAATGCCAGATCGTGTTTGTGCTCCAATGGAAGGAAAGGGGAATTACAAGACAGAGAATGACCGGCAGAAGGAAGGGCAACTCTAGGTAGATATTTGAGCAGAGAACAGGATGATGAGAGGGAGCCAGGCATGGTAGCTCAAGGATCAGCTTTTTTGGGAGGAATAAGCTGCTGCTGGAGTTCAGGGTGAGATCAGAGTAACAGTTACACCGAATGGTCAGAACAAAAGACAAGCCAGGAGAAGACTGGACTGGGGGTCTCGGCCAGCAGGAGCAGGACACCGAGACAGTTTTGGTCTGCAGGCAACAAGGACACCCGGGGATTTACCATCCAAACTGGAGCCATGTTGAGAGTGGATGGAGCAAAGCTAACAATGACTCCAGGACAACAGGTATATGCTGGGTCTGTCCTGGGAAAATCAGGGGAAGTGATCACCCTACCCTGGGGGTAACGGGTATTGGGTTTATTAGACCAGACACCCTGAAGCTCAGCAGTTTAGACTCAGCCACTTACTCTCGGGTTGTGAGAGTGACTGAATTCCAAGGCACATTGAAAGAGATGGGGTAGAGGAAATTGCCAGTTATGAGCTGACAAGAGGGGTAGATTCCACTGAGATAGATTCCACTGCCAGGAACCAAATCAGTGAAAACAAAGGGAACACAAATCAAGCACCTACGACGTGTCAGTCACGTACTTTCTCACCTAGTCCTCGCAACAAACCCCTTATCATAGTTACAATTTCTCTCCTGGTTTACTGATGATAAAACTAGCTCAGAGCAGTTAGACAATCTGACCAAGATCATACAGCGAGGGAAGAGTGGAGGTAGGATGCAGATTCTAGGCTTCTGAAGTTGTGCTTTCCCCCATGACACACTGTATTTAGACATAAGCAAAGTCACATTCCGACCGGCATAGGGGAATATACTCACAGCCTGACACTCAGGCACAGAGACCCAGATCTGTCTGGAAGCTTTGATACGCAGATAAGGTTCTGTGCCCCAGGCAGCTGGGGGTCCCCCAATATCCACTCTCCCCTTCTTCATAGAATACCCCAGTTTTAGCTGAGCCCTGTGCCACCAAAATGAAATTACATTTCCCTGCTTCCCTGGCATCCAGGTGTGACCAAGAGTTCCACTCAAGGGGATGTGCACAAAAATAGTACCACTACCCTTGCACAACTCTAGGGGGCACCATGCACAATATGAGGAAGCTGTGAGTCAAAGGCATGTTGCAACCTTTTTTTTAAGGACGTTGCAGCATTGAATGGAAGAGCCTTGATCTGCCGGCGCCCCCTTTTGCTCCCAAGAGATTGAATATGTGAATGGACAATGGCCAGACCATACATGACACTAGAACTCTCGCCCATACCTGTGGAGCAACTGGCCCCGAATGGTCAGGATTTGGTCAACGATATGCCAGCTTTCCTTTGTTTATGTCCCTGCTTCCAACTCAGGACCAAGCAGAGGAAGTCACGTATGCTCACAAAGCAATCACATAGGATGCCCACTTCTAGTTAGCCCGCCTCCAGCTTCCCCCTGCCAACAGCATGAAGCCTTCCCAACACAAGACTCCTTGCTCTGGCAAGCTCTGAGTCAGGAAGTAGGCTCTGTGTGTTCTCCTTTGCGGGGTCTCCACTGATTCCTGCACCCCCTTCCTGCTGGTGCAATGAGCCACTGTGAATCGTGAGCTGCAGGATGGAAGGGACCCGATTCTCTGGTATTTTGCAATCTCTGTGCACCTGGGACTGTTAGGGAGAAACACGCTTCACACAGACACACACAGGCGCACACACAGACACACACACACATACCCCCAGAGGAGCCTTTTCAGTCTGAGCGAATAGTCAGATTTCATATATTTAAACAGTACTAATTTGGAACTTGTGCAAGTTTGCCCCGGGGCAGCCTGGGCGAAAGGGTACATTTGCACTGGATTAAAAATCAGAGTTTGCTGAGCAGACTCGTGTGTACACCAGATTTCACTCGTTTAAATTAGGATTTTTAAGATACTTCAGCATCTTTCATTTGCATGTGATGATTGATATGCTAATTACAAGAGACTCTGACCTATTCATGAATACTTAGAGGCCACTCAGGCTGGGAGGTCTGAGACCGCTTCTAATGCAAAGGTGTAAAGCTGCATGTGTGCACACAAAATTTAGAATTTTCATCAATTCTGACTAGATTCTCCTTAATTGAGATAAACAAGCAAATTTCACTGATTTTTTTCTTGGGTGTTTCTTCTGTGTCCCAGTGTAATTCTGTCTCCCTGTGGATGCAGCCTCAGCCATCACGTGGTCCAGGATCACAGGACACAAATAGTTTTGGATGGGGAATGTATAAGGGCAATTCGTTAATGTCCACATACAGCTCATCCTTCTGGTCACCAAAGGTTCAGGGCGCAGTAGCAGCTCCCACTGGCCCCTGTGTCCCTTCTCCACTCCCATGGGGGATGTACAGACTCTCAGAACTGGATTCTTAGTACCATGGTCTCAGTCATTTGATCTCCTAAGATGCTTGCAGTGGGAAGATGGGCTAAGACACAGAGCTAATGTCTTAGGCTTTTGAAAGCCTTCTAAGTCAGACTCTTATTTACAGGAAACTTCCATGATGCCTGAAGGGCAGGCAGAGCCAAGTGGCTTCTTGGGGTTCAGCAATCTCTCCCAGCCACCTGTGGGTACTATGAAGCTATCTAGAAAGTATTCCAGAAGTGTAGTTCGGCAGGACATTCCTGTCCATGCCACCAGACCTCCAACATCCATCTACCCACTCACACATCCATCCAGCAGACATTTGCTGTGTGCCTACTACATGTGAGCAAGATACAACCTTGACCCTCAAGGAGTTCATGGTCTATGGTCAAGACCGGTATTTACACAATAAATAACAATAATCTTGTGTGATAAAAGCTGGAACTGAGACACGTACAAACTATCAAGTGAACGAGCAAGCAGATAACTCAGCTTGGTTGGGAAGGCAGCACAAACATCAACTGAGCGACACTTGGGTGAAGTCTTATAAGAGCAGAGGTTTCCGCTAGTTAGAGAACATGTCGGGGGACATTCCAAACAAGGCATGGAGACTTAAAGGGGACAAGAAAAGCAGCTCTGTGAGTCTTGCGCAGAGGTTGAGGGAGGAGAAGCAGATGATGCCCAAACTGTCACTGGGGTTGTCTTGGAAATGGTGCTGGAGGATTCAGAATTTATTCTGAGGCCACAGTATACACCCAAAGCAGGGCTGCGAACTCAAATGCCTACAGGGGTCAGATAGATGATATAAATCAGTGAGAGGGACCGGTGGGGACTGGAAAACCGAAGAGTACAAGACCCATTCAAAGGTGGCCACAAATTTTTGCCATGCTGGAGTGCAGGCTTGGCGGGATCAAGTTTCCATTTCTTATCTTTTTAGTAAGTTGGAAATGCATATTTTCATATGAACACTCTCAAGTTTGAAATGTTGGAAATTATTTCAAAACCTCATGCTGGCCAAGCAAAAACATATCTGATGTCCCATTAGCCTCTAGTTTGGATTTATTTCAGACATGAAGCTTAAGCAGGGAGCTGACCCTCTCAGACTGTGTTTCAGAAAGAGGATGTCCCACTGATCTTCCCAGCCTCTGCCAGCAAGAACCTAGTCCACCCCCTTGCTTTCACCCAGGTAGTCTTTGCACGCCCTCACTGCCCTCCCAGGCCAGCCCCAAAGCCGCCCCATCGGGCCTGGAGGAGCTGGATGAATGAGCTGTGCTCCAGGCTTGACTTAGAGAAAAGGCCCAGCCAGAAGGACATGAGAGAGCCGTATTTATTTCACATGGACAAGCATGATTTGGTCGCATGCTGAACATGAAAGCTCGCGTGAGGAAAAGTACCCGTAACAGCAGAATTATGTGCTTTTGTCCACAGGGGGCGGGGAGAGTCACAGAGTGGTTTTCAAAGACAGCGCCCCTTCAAGCAGAGTTGAGACCACAGGCTTTGAAGCCACTGGTTCATTTCATCATCAAAGGGTCTGTCTCCTCAGAGTGGCCGGGTGCTTCCTGCTCTGCGATCTCCCCAGGAGCTGCTCAGGTCAGGAGGGCAAGGCTGGTCTCCCATCCATCACCCAGGGCGGCTCGGGGAGTTAAGCTCAGAGGGGAGGTACGTGCCACTCAAAATCAGCAAGCCCACTCCGGGGCGGATAGTGACAGGGACAGACTGCTGTGTTCATAGCAACAAAACTATCACCACTTCTAATATGCCTCATAATCAGAAGATCTGCTTTTCCTAAAGCCCCTTAGAGGCTGAAGGAAAACCATTTGGAATTGACCTGACATGCCAGACACAGAGCATCCTCGCCTGGACAGACTGCGGAGGGCTAGTGGCAGGGACCCCCTGGTCTCTTGGCCTTAACTGGGCTCCCCGGTTCCAGGAGGATGGAACCCATGATGGGAACAGGGGCTGGAGCCTGGGTTTGCTGGGGAGAAGAGGATCAGAGTGTCTCAGGGCAAGCCTCATGGAAGAGACACGCCTTTGCATCTCGGTGGCTCATTCCCACCTGAAGTCCTGGCCAACGGTTTCATAAAATTTAATATTATAAGGTCTATAAAATTCCCGAAGCTGGTCTATCACTTCAGGATCGATCTGTACATGAGTTCTGCCTTTCGACTTGCCCAGGCATCGGGGCAGGAGGCTCGACTCCGGCTTTTTCAGGCAAGGGAACCCTTTGGTCTTGTTGAAGTAGAAGTGCTTGTCCGTGATGAGCCTCTTGATGCCCAGGAAGTCCTGGACCCGCGCCATCTCGCCGGCCGGGTCGGTGATGAGCCGCTCGCCGCTGACGAAGTGGATCTGGGCCAGCGGGAAGTAGCGCAGCCAGCTCTCCAGGTGCAGCGCGTACATGCCGATGCGGATGGCGTTCCACGACGCGTCCACCAGGCCCAGCGTGCGGTTGCGGAAGGACAGGCCCTCGAAGGTGGGGATGTCCGGCTTCTTGGAGAGCGTCTGCGTGTAATCGGAGATGGCGCGGGTCACGGGGTTCCGCACCACCACGATCAGCTTGGTGTCCCGCGACATGTTGAAGATCCGCCGAGGGGCCTCCTGAGTGACGAAGTAGCTGGGCGTCTTCTCCAGTGTGATCTGGCTCTCGAGGGTCCGGGGCATCAGGCTCCTGTGGGGTTGGAAACGGCACAGGGTCAGCCAGGGCTCGCCTGGGCTGGGGTCCAGGGAGATCATCTCTCTCCACCCAGCTCCCTAGTGGAGTCCCCCTCTCTCCTGTTTGACGTTTGAGGCTCCCCTGCTCTCACCTGATGAAGAACCCACTTTAACTCTTGTTGATTTTTTTTAAGTCTTAAACAGTTTGCTTTAAGTCAGGAAACAACCTGCATGACCATCAGTATGGGTTAAATAAATGATGGAATAGCTAATTAATAGAGTTAGGTAGATCTGTGTGTACTGTCATGGAATGATTTCCAAGATTTAGCGCTGAAACGAAAAAAAAAGCAAGAGACAGCTGGATCATTTAGGGAGGGATACCAAGAAACCAATAAAAGTATTTGCTTCTGGGGAGGGGCCTTGAGTGGGAGCAGAGCAAGAAGGTCAGGGTAAATGAGAAATGCTTTTTATTGTGTAATCCTTCACGCTGCTTGGAATTTTTATTGCATTTATTACATATTCAAAACATACAAAGGAAGCCACCGAATATTGTTCTTGGAAAGATAACTTCTCCAAATAGACGAAGAAAATCTTTTTTTGGAGGCAGAGGTGGGGGACAGTGTTTTGTAGAGGACAGCAAGTGTTTTAGAAATGAGTTCTGATGCCTTTTCCTGCTGAAACACATCTGAAATACATCCATAGTATAAGACCGAAGAAGCAAAGAACTCCAGACTGGGAGGAACCTCAGTTGTAAACTGGCTAATGCAACATCTCCGTCCTCTACGTTTTAATATCCTGGTTCTGAGATGAATACATTAGCTCACCCAAGAAATTAAAAAGAAAAGCCCACATATATATAAAATACATATACAACAAGTTTCTTCTGTAAAGCACAGGGAACTCTATTTGATATCTCAGACTAACCTATAATGAAAAAGAATATGAAAACGAATACATGCATGTATATGTATGACTGAAACATTTATGCTGTACACCAGAAACTGACACAACATGGTAAACTCAATTAGAAAAAAAACTACCTAGAAACACTGCTGAAGAAATTTTAAAAGACTTAAAAAACCCCACAGATGTCCAAGCCACATCCCAGACCAACTGAATAAAAATATTTGGGGATGGGTAATTTTTTGAAGCGTCTCAGATGATTCCAGTGTGCAGGAAGACTTGCAAATGACCAATACAGCAATCGTCCCTTCCCCACTCCTAACGCTGTGGTTTTTCCCACCCGCAAAGCACATTCCTCTGGGATACTGGCACCTGGTTCTTCTTAGTCCTAGTCCCTATTATCAGCTCTGCTCAGTGACCTGGCCTTGTAGTTCTTTGATCAAATATCTCCATTTTCTCTTCTCTTTTAGCAACTCTTCCTCACGGCCATACCTTAGGTCTTGTCGTTGGAACTGCCCTAATTCTGAAAAGTTCCACTCTAGGGCTCTGTAGAGGGTTGAACGGTGACCCTCTAAAAGATATGTCCACCCAGAACCTTGAATGTGACCTTTTTTGGTAAAAGGATCTTTGCAGATGGAAGAAAGTGAAGGATCTTGAGATGAGGTCATCCTGGATTAGGGTTTCTTGTAAGGAATGTCCTTAGAAGAGGAGAGAAGAAGAGAAGAGACACACAGAGCAGGAGGCAATGTGAAGGTGAAGGCAGAGCCTACGGCAAAATAGCTATAAGCCAGGAAATGACAGGCACTGTTGGCAGCCACCAGGAGCTAGGAGAGAAGCATGGCGCCCATTTTTTTACTCGAAAAGGAACCAACCCTGCTGACAATTTGGTTTCCGAATTCTGGCCTCCAAAACTGTGAAAGAATAAATTTCCATTGCTTTAAGCCACCCAGTTGGTGGTCATTTGTTATGGCGGCCCCAGGAAACTGACACAGACCACACCTTCTTTCTTTCAACTTTCCCCACGGTCTCAGACTCATTATACCCGACCTTCAGATTTATCTGATGCCCTTGATTTCACTTTCCTCTAAACCTTCTCTGGACCCAGTGAATGGCCATTTCAGTAGCATCATCACCTTCATCATCATCATTGTCATCATCATCATTCATTTCTTCGTACTACTTGCTCTTCCAGTCGTTAATCATGCATCTTTCCAACTTTTCATGTTTTCTAATTCTGTCTCTGGGTTACCAAATGGCAGTAGAGAAAAAATGACAACTGGATTCTTTTTTATTTTAAATTAGATTTATCTATTTTTTTTAACGGAGGGACTGGGATTGAACCCAGGACCTTGTGCATACTAAGCATGTGCTCTACCACTGAGCTATATCTTCCCCACCCTGAATTCTTTATATATTTATTAATTCTAGCTTCGATTGAGCCCTGAATGCTGTTTGATAATCTTTTATATTTGTTTTTACATGCCCCCCCCATCATTATCCTAGTAAGTGTTCCAAATGCTCACCATAAACTCCCAACCCTACTTCTGTCACCTAAGCTAACACATGACTAGTCTCCCACTACTCTGGAAATGTATACGCTGCCTCACCTCAACTCCTTCAATCTCTCTCTCCTCCACCTTGACAGTGACTGTATCTGCACCCATCCCGAGCCCCTCCCACTAGTCTCCGAGGACAAGGTAGGCAGGGGCTCACCTGCCCACCTGTGTTCTCAGATCCCTTCCCGTCCTGCCTTCCCTGCACCCATCCGTTATCCCCTTGAATCTTCACATTCACTGTGCAGCTGATAAGCGGATACAACGGATATTTTGCTTGTAGGCCCAGGGTCTACGATGGACCCTTATGGGTAGAAGGTTTTTACAGTATTTATTAATACTGAGAATGCCATTTTTAAAATTGGATCTCATTACAAGCAAACAACCACAGGTATACTTGAATAGAACTCTTTGGCTGGAGTTTTGTAGAAATCTGCCTGTGTTATTTTATGACCTTGGCACACAGCGTAATGAGGTGTTGGTCTTTGTGATGACAGTAGCTGAAATTACATATATGCGACAGTGCATTTCAGCATAAGGACTTTCCATACTTTATGGGGGTTATTGATACATAAAGGTCTTCAACACCCAAAAGATTGACCCTGACAAGCCACTAAGCAGATTTCCCTGCAATTGCCTTTAATAGACTAAAGAATATCTCCAAGAGAGGAACTGAGGCGGCACCATTTCCCAAGCTTACATGGCTAAGGAGCTATGATCTTTCGCCAGGAACACCAGTTAACATCCCTCTCTGTTATCAGTTTGGAAAATTCTGACCCATTCCAGTGATTGCCAGAGTATCACATTGTTCCCCCAGCCATGCACTGAAGTGAGGGTCCACCCTTCTAATTCTTAACTGGCACATCAGCTACAAAATCAAATCACAAATACTGAGGGAGACACAAACACGAGGCTGTTAATAACGTCACACACAGGTCATCACTCCGTGAGTCAAATGTGTACCTCAGATGTTCTCTATCTCCCCCAAGGGACATCCTTACGTATTTATTTCCCATGAGGTCACTGGAATAGTGTACAGGAGGCCCGTGTGATGATAGCATAAACAAGGACACTGCGTGTCCACCTATCTCCCTGCTCGGTGAGCACGTAGTGGGAGGGATTTTTCCTTAAGGCTCACTTTTTTCTCCTCGTGTCATTGTTCAAATTTTGCTTTCAGGGGCTAACAAACAGCTGAACTTTCCTCTCACCCTGTGACCCTGTTAAGCTTCAGCCTCCTTGCTTTCCTGTGCAGTTCTGCAAAAAATTACTGAAAGGATCATCTAACACTCACTGTTGGCCTCACCTCCCATCTGTTATTTTAACCTGCTCAGCAACAATTTCCCCTCCATCTGGGAACAGCCTCCAGATTCTTTTTTTTTTTTTTTTTTTTTTTTTAAGGAACCACCACTCCTGCTTTGAATAAAATCTCAGCAGGCCAAGGAGAGGGTGCATGAGCGAAGTCAGGCTAATCAGTGCCAGGGGTGTCATAAAGACAAAATGTACCATGTGGATTGAAACTTCCAACCAGACACAGGAGCCTGGAAGAGCCTCTTATCCAGTCCCTTCACCAGGCTTGGTTCTTACCCTTCCTGAGACCTGGTTTTCCCACGTTCCTCTGTGTTCTGGGAGTTACTGCACAGCCTTCTAAAATTTTTCCCTACTTTTAGAGTTAGTGTCAGTTTTTGCTGCTGACAACCCGAGAACTCTAACCTGTCATACAACCTGGCTTCCTCTCTGTGGAAGCTACCCTCCCCCCCACTCAGTTATAAACCCCGTGAGGCAGGGCAGGGTGCATCTTATTTGCATTAAAGTCTACCAGAGTGCACGGCACAAGTGAGATCTCCATTAATATTTCTGAGGTTTACACAAAGCCAACAACCGGTCTAACCAGGGGTGCACTGAAGCTCTCATCCCCCTTCCACATTCTCAGCTCTCTCTGAAAAATTCTAGACCTTCACAGGAGTCTGCCTCCTGTTTCTCTTACTCTATGTGATCTTCCTGGATGACCTCTTTCCTTCCCCAGCCTTAGGGCTGCCCGGGAGCTGTTGACTCCTCGTAAGTCTGTAACTGCAGGTCCAACTTTCCCACACTCTGGATTGGAATGTTGGACTGAGAGTGGACCGGTATCTCACCTCCACAACCGAACTCACCATTTTCCTCCGCAGTCTTACTTCTCTCTTTTGCCTGTTTTTGTAGACAGTATTGCCGTGAATCCGCTCACAAAGCAGAGACACCTCAGTGTCATTTCTTTTTTTTTTTAACATTTTTTTATTGAGTTATAGTCATTTTACAATGTTGTGTCAAATTCCAGTGTAGAGCACAATTTTTCAGATATACATGAACATAATATGTATTCATTGCCACATTTTTTCCTCTGTGAGCTACCATAAGATCTTGTATATATTTCCCTGTGCTATACAGTATAATCTTGTTTATCTGTTCTACATTTTGAAATCCCAGTCTGTCCCTTCCCACCCCCTACCCCCTTGGCAACCACAAGTTTGTATTCTATGTCTATGAGTCTGTTTCTGTTTTGTATTTATGGTTTGTTTTTTTTTAG